TACAGTACAGTTGACTCTTTCTCAATGTAATAAATGCATGTGTCAGAAAGATGTGATGTATAGAAAAATGAGGTAGGGGCACGTGGTTTGGATCCAATGGCCACCACGTCTTTCCCAAACCCTATATATATCCTCCCCTTAGAAACAAAAAAAAAAGGAGATATGTGTAGAACAATAGAAAAAACACATATACGAAAAAAAAAAAAAAAGAGGAGAAAACCCGAGAAAAAGAATAAGGAACGGATATATTGATTTTTGGTACACTTTGAAGGGGAGAATAAATACTACTCCATACATTTCAAGCCATTGGATTTCTTGTTCATTTCTCTTCTTCTTCCACAAATATACTTACTTACAACCCATATACTATGAAAATACGTCCACTTGTACACTGTCTTCCAACGACACTTGTTGGCCATTTTTGGAGGTCTACAATTAGATTGGCTGAAGTTACTTGCTCCATTAATTTGAGGTTTTTGATTTGTTGTGACATTCTCAACATGAAAGACCTTCTCATGTTCAGATTTCAGTTCTAGCTCCTTACTTAGAAGGGACATGTGAACTATTTCAATTGTTAAATCACTCCTACCATATTTTAGGCATTTCTTATGTTCTTGTATTTGTGTCCTAGAGCATTAAGCAAGCCAACAACTTTTACTCATCAAAGATCTTCTCATAACAATTTATGAGATCCGAGTGATCCTATGAAATCTATCCATGTTTTCTTCTGTATCAAGATTAGGATCAAATTTAAAGCTAAAGAACTGCCTCACAGAAAACACTTATTTGGTAGAGTATTAGTGAGATACTGTTTTTCTAAATCATCCCACAGTTCTACAACAGTTTTGGTTTCTTCTACTTTTCTAATCATAGAATCAGATAAATGAAAAAAAAAAGTAATCTAGGCTAACTTATCTTGTTCAGTTTTCCTGTCAGCAAGTAGATTTTTGGCCAAGATTCATCAATGGTCTTAGCACATTTTAACTGTAACATTAGGGCCTTAATTTTCTAGTGCCAAAGACTAAAGTCTCATTTGCCATCTCAAATCTAACCATCTACTTTAAAAGTCATGACATGCAGTAGTGTAATAATTGTGCTCAAGTGTGATATAAACAGTAGTATGTCACACTGATTAATACAAGATATGTCAATCACAGAATAAAAAAATCTAACACCAAAGATTTGTGATAAATTATAATACAATAAGGCATTGTAGGCCAAATGTACTTACACTCAGTAAGCCAAAAAAATGAAGTCTTAGCAAGTATAACTTCACGAAATTATATACATGCAATTAGGCATCTCCCTAAGAGGAACACGAAACTCAGAAGCAGTATCACATGTTAATGTCATTCAACAGTTCGATAACAGAATATGAGTTTTAGGTTATAAACATACACATAGTATCAATAACATAAAATCAAACAGCAAACAATTCCAAATTTCTTGAACAGTAAGCCATAAATTTCCTCAGATTCTAGGGTTCTCTAAGGGACCCCTAGACAAAGGCAAACTTAGGGTAGTTTAAAAAAATAATCAGATTTCAAGAAGACAAAACCAACTGTTTATTTTCTTTTAGAAAGTAAATCGTTGCCGAATATTGCAAAATGAAAAGAATGTTGAAAAACACCCAAAAATGGTTCTGACTTAAGACGAAAAAGATTTTTGTTTAAATGTTGGCAGATCGTCTCAGATCTATCGTTTTCTTTAGGCCAAAGAGTCTCACCAAGGTATTCGACTTTTAGAAAATAAGTTTGAGAAAACTAAAGTCAAAAAAACAGATTTTAAAGCTCTAATACCACTGTAGGTCCAGAATCATTTTTAAACCAAAAACTTAACACATAAAATCAAGATTTCTCAAACACATAACAAGAAGTTAAAGAGCACAAGAGATTTTTTGGTCAAAGGACCCAAAGGTTCAACGACCACTTCCGACGCTTAGTCCCCATTTGAGCATCTATAAGGATTAAACTCAAATCCACTATACCGACCAAAATAGGCAAAATCAAGTTATAGAACACAGAGTTCTCAAAAAACCAGTACAACACAATCTTCTCATAAAGCAAACTCACACAAGAGTTTTTCTTCTATTTTCTCTAAAAATACAATACTAAGTATTTTCAGAGAAAACACAAGATCGAAACGAAGAAGACAAAAGGCACGGAGCCAAAAAACCATCGAGAATGATACAAAAGTGTAACCCTAAAGTCACAAGAACCTATTTATATGAGACTAAAAGATTTGACGGTAAGGAGCTCGCCACTTGTCACCATCCAAGAGATTATATTCTTTAAACCAAAAGTGTGTTAGTAAAAGAACACATTTTTGCCAAATCCAAAACTTCCAATTATTGGGTCATCAACTTGGATCATAAATGTGGGCTTAAAGAACTTGGCTTTGAGATAATTGGGCCTCAACAAAATTCAACAACACATATCTTACAACTTCAAGAAAATGAATAAAACTTATAGCACATAGTAACAATCATTGTAAAGTCCGACGAGGGACTAGATGTAGTGAGTTTAAGTTATAACAAAATTATTTCTATATCTTTTAAGACTAATGTCAGGTTTACACCCACTCAGCTCCTCGAACTACTTATTTTGTTGTCTCATTCGTATTCTATGCTACATCAAATGGACTACATTTTTCGGATATTAGTTATATATGAAAAAAGAAAAAGGTCAAATCACATTTTGTCCTTCTTTGATGTAGCTAAAATAGTTTATACAAATTTAAATTCAAATCAATAATTAATTTTAATCATATATTTCATGAAAGGAAAAGCTCCTTGTCCAGGGCCATATGGGCCCTAAACGTATAGCCTAATCCTTCATGAAATCACATGACTTTTATCAATTTTTTAATAATTTGTTTCATCAACTTTTCTAAAAATATACTAAAATTTTGATTTTTAACTACACCAAACAAGGGCTTGACCGACTCAAAATCACTAATTTTTACCTTACCTCTAATTCAGGTCCTCAAATAGGAAATTTTTCAATAAAAATAGATATTTAATAAATCAATACATACAATTCAATTAGGATGTTATATGAAAGAATGATTTCTTCTATTATCCTTCGAAAATAGATATTTACATGGAATTCATAATTCCTTTTTGTAGATTTTGTGTTATTTTTTATTAATAGGTGCAGAAATGTACAACTTGTTTATTTAATAAAGTAATTAAAAAATTAAATGGAACAATTATTAGAATGCCAATAAGACATGGTGTGTGATATTGTACAAGGTCTTAAGAGTACGATAATATACTATTTCTTCCTTTTGCCATTAATGAATCCATCAGTGTAAAAAAGAAACAAAAAGAAAAGAGAAAAAAAATGTGTAAGGGCACAAAAAAAAAAAAAAAAGAACATGCCCATAAATACGAGGTAGACCATGAGTTATAGATGTTCACCTTTGTGTAACATAATATTGGCTAACGGGATCATGTCTACTGCTTATCGTGTGATTTTTATTTTTTTCGATTGATCATAAAGAAATAAAAAAAATGTTTGTAGTAGTGCATGACCTTTTGAATTAACTTTAACATACATACGTAACATTAGATACATTGCTCTTGACAATATATAAAATTTTAACTTCTATTGTTTTTTTTTTTTTTTTTTCTCTGGCATATGCCATTTATGTTCACATTAAAATAGTGAAGGGACAAATTTTAGGCCTAAAGTGTAATTTTCCTCTAGGATGTAAATTGATATTTCATTATCAAAGAAAATTGGTCCTAAACTAAATATGGTCCAAAATTGGGCTAAAAGTCGTAGTGATTGGGTAATCTTATAATAGACATTACTTTAAGGAAAACTAGTGGAGGATCATGTGGCATTTATAATTAATAAGAATTTTTATTTATTTATTTATTTATTATTATTTATTATTATTACTATTATTATTATTATTATTATTTTTTGAATTTAGGGTTTGGGAAGATGAGGCACAAACCCATTAGTGTCAATCAAACAAAGAGCTGTTTTTATTTATTTATTTATTTTGGTCTTTAAGAAAGGTAAGTATGAGTTGTTGAGGGACAAATTCAAAGATTAAAAGGTTGCTCTAAAATTTCCTTTTCTTGCCCTTATAAAGAATACGTACAGATATAAAACGAATCAAATCTCAAGACTAATTCACTTTTTCTTTTTCCATCTTTTATTTCTCCCTTTCTCACCCCACCCAAAAGTATATGTACAAGTGAAAATTGGGTTTAAAAACTCCCTTGCTTACAAAACTTTAATTTTAGTCATCAGATATTTCAACATAGATAGACAGTAGTGACTGAACTCAAAAGTCATTTTAGTAAAGTCACTCTTTACATATCTGTTCATCAAATTTAACAATTTTATTGAATTGTCTGATTGTGTAGTTTATGTTCTTAACAACTTCGATGAAATGACATTAACCATTTTTTTTTACTACCTTTCTATATCATCGTCACTTCTACCTAAACTAATATCGAATATTGAAGCATTTAACCCAACTAGTGCTTAGCATTATTCAAAATTTGTGCTCTTTATAATTAATAAGTTGGCCTTAAGTTATGTATTAGTCAGGTAATTGTTAAGATTTAGGGTTCTATTTTAAAAAGTCAACCTTGTAAAGGGAAGTAGCCCATGACCTTATAAATTGGTCTATATTTCTATCTCTAATCAATGTGAAATTTTATTCCTTAACATGCTCCAACAAGATGGTGATTTTTTTGAGCAGTCTAATTTTAAAATTCGTATGCTCATTTATTAAGTTTTATAGTCGAATCGAATCGTTCGTTAGAGTTTAAAACTTGGGGTTCCATCTTAAAAACATTGTTAAGAGGAGTATCTCAAGACCTTATAAATTGGTCTATATTTTTATCTTTAATCGATGTGAAATTTTTTCCCTTAACAGTAATAAATGAAAATACATCCTCTATTATTGGTTTGCTTCTGAACATAAATATTTAAGACAAACTTTTGTAATACAACACCCCACTCCCTAACCCGCCCCAACACCCCTCGTTCCTCTTTTCCTCAAGTGTCACTTTATTGCATATACTTCACACAAAAGAAACAACCATTCACTTCATAGCTTGTCATTTCTTCTCTCTTTCTCTCTCAATCTCAAGTCTGCAACTACTCCTCACGAATTGATCATCAAATCCCATCTGAAGAAAACCCCAGAAAATCTGTCTCTCTTTTCTTGTCTCTCTCCCGGAAATTTTGCATCCAATCTCAGCTTTTGTCTCAAACAAGGCCTTTTCTAATCTTTCTGCAACACTAAAAGAGTGGGAGCTAAAGTAGAAAGGGGAAAAACAAGAAAGGGAGATAGAAACTTTTTCCGGGACGGGCGGGGATTGTATGTTATGGAGTTATTTTCAGCACAACCAGACCTATCTCTACAAATCAGCCTCCCAAATAGCAAATCTTCATCAGGTTGGAGAAGAAGAGAGGATGAAATGGATTTGGGGTTCTGGAAGAGAGCTCTAGATTCTAGAAACTCAATCTCTTCAATGGCAAACCCCGACAACAGTTTCGAGCTTTCTTTATCGAACCAAAGGGTTGCGGAACCGGACTGTACCCATCTTCACCTTCTTCAGAACAATACAAACAATTTCATCCACCAGTTTCCACAGCAAAACCTTCGTCCTCAGCCCTTCCACCATCAAGGGCTAAGCCCGGAACTCAGTTTCTTGAGGCCCATAAGAGGAATTCCAGTTTACCAAAACCCTCCGACCTTCCCATTTGCTCATCAGCAAAATTTAGATGCATCTGTACCTTCTTCCACTCGTAATAGTAATGCTGCAAGCAGCCATTTTCAGCCTCAAAGCCTAATGAGGTCAAGGTTCCCGGCTAAAAGGAGCATGAGGGCTCCCCGGATGAGGTGGACTACTACCCTTCATTCCCGTTTTGTTCATGCTGTTGAGCTCTTGGGTGGCCATGAAAGTAGGTCTCATTCTTTAATTGAATTTTTCTCCTTTTTTTCTAAACTTAATTATGGTCCATTTAGCAATCTTGAACATTTGCTGTAAATAGAGAGAGGGATAATCTTTAAGTAATATTTATATTTGCTCTTGAAAATTAGGAGCAACACCCAAGTCAGTTCTGGAGCTCATGGACGTTAAAGATCTAACCTTGGCACATGTTAAGTCCCATTTACAGGTAAATTACAATCTTCTTCTTCTTCTCCAAATCAAGATGAAATCTTTATGCAGCTTGTTCATCAATTGCTTGCTAACAATGGTGCCTTTGCAAGGCTCAGATTTTGCCAAAAAAGGGGGTAAATGTCAAAAACACATAAATCTCAAATTCCAATGTTCATTTTTCCCTAAAGAGAAGCTCTCAACTCGTCTGAACTTTTTTTTTTCCTACTAGATCTGATGGTTCTGCAAGCTATTATGCAGCTTTTTGCTTGGAAAAATGAACCCTCCATGTAAAAGAAAAAGATGAATATGATAGCAGGAGAGAGATAGAGTCATTCATTCAACAATAATATATCAAACATATAAGACAAAACACAGAATTGAAAACACAGAGTCAATTTTCTATTTATTTATTTTTTATTTGAAATAATTGCACATTTTTTCAAAAGGAAGTACAGAACCATCATGACTCAATGATATATATTAGCATATTTTTGGTTTTAGAAAACCATTGTTTATTTGCCATGGTTAATCTTCAGGAAACCATATGGATACATACATATATATATATATATATATATACATATATATATATATATATATGTGTGTATGTTAGATATCTACACATTTATTGTATGTACTTTTACTGCATTAGGCTACAATATAGGAAGACCTACATTAGCTCTTATTTCTTTTTCTTTTTCTTTCCTTTTTTTTTTTTTTTTTTTTTTAAATAT